TAACCCTTAAAGTGGACTCAATTTGCCCTATTTCTGGCAGTCTGCAAAAGCCCTTAGTTTCCCATTTTGGCTCTTTCAATGCCATGAAGTGGGAATTGTAGTTGGTTTGACACCACTTGAACTGCCAGGGCTCAAGGCTATGGAATTCTGGGAATTTAAATTGCTAATGCTGTATGTTGGACACCCTGTTGGCCTATGTCGCCATGTATTTTCTAGTCTGTCCAGCTGGTGAACACATAAACACACTATACAAAGGGATCTTGTACAGATTCAGCATCCCTTATCAGAAATGCTCAGGACTAGAAGTGTTTGGATTTTGGAATACACTAGGTTATTGATATCCACAGGCTTGCCCTCCATGGATTTAAACATCAATGGAAGGCAAGCCCCATTGCTTTCAATGAGTGTGCCGTCAGCGTGCCATTAAGGACAATGGCTCACGCTTTTCCTTATCCCCAGGGGGATCCGTCAAGGATACATAGGGCAGACTGTATCTTTATTTGCATACATATCTTGGAGCTGGGGGCCAAATCCAAACTCCATTTATGTTTCAAATACACTTTATATACATAGCCTGAAGGTAATTTTGTCCAATATTTTAAATAATTTTGTGCATGAAACCAAGTTTGTGAACATTGAACCATCAGAAAGCAACATCTCAGCTACCCATGACAAAAGTTTTAGTTTTTGGAGTATATCAGAATTGTGGCTAAGGGGGACCCAAACCTATAGCACCTTTGAGACAAGAAAAAAGCTGGTAGCATGAGCTTTCCTAGTTTTTTAATCTACTTCCTTAGATAGTCTACCAAAGGTCATGCCTCCAGATTGTTTCTTTTAGTTAGTATCAAAGACTACAAGATCCCTTTGCATACTGTTTTTGCAGTCTAACATGGCTATGTCTTTGAATAAACACCTTGTGATTCATGTGATATGTAATGCTGCCCATTGGGATTTTGGTTCTTATGAGAAATATGCCCAAGCACCATCCGTCATAATGTTTATACCTATTATGGACAAAGTCCCTGAAGAACGAACAAACTAAACATAATGAAAGGGGTTTCTCTTGCCACTTTCAGTCCTAGCTGTGGCTGACTAGGGGATGACAAGAGCGCATAATGCCATGTGCTGCCTCCTCATTCTACTGTCTTTAGACCTAAAGAATGAAGTGCAGTATTTAAATTAGTGGCAATGAATAGTCTGTGTGTGTCTTGTGTGCCTTCAAGTCATTTCCAACTTCTGGTGACTCTAAGGCAAAGCTATCATGGGTTTGAGTTCTGTAGAGCTTGGCTGAGGATTCTAGGAACTGTTCTCCAGAAAGTGACTTTTTCATGCTCTAGATCTCTGTCTCTCTTCTTCCAGCCAGCTACTAGATTGCTTTCTAGCTAGTACCTTTTGTGGGCCTTTTTATAAGGCTAAGATAAAGTGTTCAGGCTAATCCAGCAGTGAGATGTAAGTCCATAGCTCAACTCAGGCCTGTACTTGCCATGCACACATTTTCAAATCACTATCTTCTGTTTTTTCAACTGGTACATGAACATAATGTGAATAATTAGTTTGCATGCTGTATTAGTTTGCATGCTAAAAGTGATGTGCATACACCATTTTATTTCTAAGATAAACCTTTTTCCATACAGAGCTACAACAGATACTCTTAGAAGTTCTTTAAATCAGAGATGGTCAGGTTCTGCTTTTCCAGTGGCATCCTTCTTAGCTTCTAGACATCCTTCAGGAATATGTTTTCTCAGACATCCTAAGTTAATTCTGAGTTACCTTATGCACAGATCTAGCTCTGATTACATTCTGTCCCAATCCCACAACTATAAATATGCTTTATACCTGAGGCTTTAGTATCACTCTGTACTGCATCCAAAGAGGCGGGTTGATATCCACAAAAGCTCATGCTAAAATTAAAAACCAGTTAGTCTTAAAGGTGCTACTACAGTCCTTTTTTTCCTCCCCAACTCTTCCTCCTTTTCATACTTGCAGACACCTGTTGCTAAGGTCTTTAACTATTGTGGAGTACATGCAGGGTGGATTGTTGGATTATTATTGGATTGTTTGGTGGATTACTGTGTAGTAGATTTTTGTGGTGTACAGTAAAGGAACTAGACTTGGCTCCCGGGGACAATTGTATGCAACCTAAGGACAGTTGTGACGTTAAGTGTGAATTCCCCCCTATACATTTTTTTACAAGTATAAAAGATGTGGCTACAGTGACACATGCCTTAGTTACATACCATAT